TATATATACATACATTATATGTGTGTGTGTGTGTGTGTGTGTACTTTTTGTTTGCCTGTTTTGCGCTAGCGAATGAGCGAACTGCTTCAAGATGGCTGCCGTTGCGCAGGAACCCTTTTTGCTTGTTGCGAGTGAGTGCGAGCGAGACGGCTTATACGAGAAAAGCTTGGCCTGCGTTCTTATTGGTGCTGCCCGCTTCGCTGCCTCCAGCTGCGGCCTGCTGCTGCTGTTGTTGCTGTTGCTGTTGCTGCGCAGCCGCAGCGGAAGTGGATGCTTGTGCTGTTGACTGCGTGCTGTTGCTCGCCTGACTTAGTCCGCTGCCGCTGCGCAAATGCACGGGCGCTGCCGCCGATGTAGACGCTGCTGCCGCTGCTGCAGCCGCTGCCGACGCAGCTCCAGCTGCATTCGTGGGGCGATACTGCGGCTGCAGCAGTCGCTGCTGCTGCTGCTGGCGCGCCAATTGCTGCAGCTGATGCGCCTGCAACTGCTGCTGCTGCTGATGATGGTGATGCGGATGATGCTGCATCAGGGCGCTGGGCATCATGGAGAGCGCCTCGTGCTGATCGTAGGCACTGTATTCCGATTCGATGCTGTGGTAGATGTGCTCCGAGGGGGGCCGCATGGCCAGAGACTCGACCACGGGTCGCATGGGGCGCGGCGAGGGCGTGGCCGTGGTGGCTGACGAGTAGTTGGCCTCCATGTCCTCGGTGCAGTAGTAGGCGGGCGGCGGCGGCGCCTGCCGGAAGATCAGGCCGGGCGAGACGGGCTGCTTGAAGCGCTCATGGTGATCCAAGGTGTAGTTGTTGCCCCGGGGCGAGAGCTCAATGGGTATGGCATAGCGCAGCTTCTCCCAGAAGTAGCGGTCGCAGGTGAGCAGCCGGTTCGATGGCACCGACTTGAGATAGGGCGCCAGCTCGGCGACATCCTCGGCCTCGCTGGAGACGCTCGTCTCCTCGATGATGACCAGCTTCTGGGCGAGGCCGCGCAGCGCCTCGTGGAACGCGTTGCGGAACTCGACGCGCTGCCACTCGGTGGCCAGCAGATGGCGGGTCAGCACCAAGATGATCTTCCTCGAGGCCCGGGCGCCCTCCACCAGCTGCAGGTGGCTGGCCTGGGGCGGCAGGTCGCGCTGCTGGATGCAGAGCCTGAACGGCGGTCGGCCGTGCTCCAGCTCGGCGGCGATGTTCCGGCACACGAACTCGTAGTCCTTCTCCGAGTGCAGAATGATGGCGTCGTAGAGCTTGCCGGCGTCCTCGAAGCGCGGCTCGCACACGCGCACCCCGTAGTGGGCGAAGAGCCACATGCGCACGCTCTCCCGGAAGACGAACACGATGATGAGCACCACGACCAGGAAGATGAGCACCAGCACGGCGGCGAGCAGGGGCAGGCGATAGCCGTGGGCGAGGTCCTGGGCGGAGCTGATGTTGCTGGCGCTGGCATCGAGCAGGTCGGAGCAGTCGGCGCTGGGCAGCAGCTTCTCCTGGCTGAGCAGGTCCAGCTCGCGCTTGATGCCGCCATCCACGCAGTAGATGTCCGGCGTGTCCCGGATGACCAGGGCGTTGTCCGTCACGAACTGCACCAGCTCGCGCAGCTGCTGGCAGCGACAGCTCCAGCTGTTCCGGCCCAGCGTCAGCCCCTGCAGGTTGCTGGGGTACCGCAGATTGGGCAGCTGCAGCCGATTGTTGTCCAGGCGGAGCAGCTGCAGCGAGAGCAGCGGCGCGAAGGTGTCGTTGGCGATGTGCGACAGCTGATTGCCCTGCAAGTGCAGCTCGCGCAGCAGGCTCAGCGAGCGGAAGCTGTCCGAGTCGAGGCTGCTCAGCTTGTTGTGCTCCAGGTGGAGGACGCGCAGCTGCGGCAGCTGCGCGAGGCTGCCGTTGGCCAGGGCCACCACATTGGAGGCGTTCAGATAGAGGGTGTGCAGGCTGCGCTGGCCGGCCAGGTGGGCGGGCTGCAGCAGGGGCAGATTGTTGCCGTCCAGGTAGAGCACGTTCACGTCCTGGGGCAGGCGCGGCGGCACACTCAGCAGGTCCTGCTTGCCGCAGTCGACGATGTTGTTCGACCAGGTCGCGTCGTGGAAGCAGCTGCAGTTGTTGGGGCAGATCATCTCGCACTCGCAGCTCTCGTACTCGCAGCAGTGGCACGTCGCCGGGCAGTGGGTGTCGTACTTGCAGAGGAAGTCCGCGGAGCTCAGGCTGGACAGGGGACGCAGCGGCGCCTGGCGGCTGTGCGGCATCAGGCACTCGATGTTGGCCAGGTCGACGATGCGCGGATGCTGGCGCGTGGTCAGGTTGTTGATGCGCTGCAGCCACTCCAGGGAGCAGTCGCACTCGAACGGATTGCCGCCCAGGTAGAACTCCGGCTGGGGCTTGTCCAGGGCGACGGGCGCCACGCGCAGCGCGTTCAGCGACAGCTTGGACAGCACATTCGCATAGAGATCGACGCGGGCCAGGCGCGTCTTGTCCACGAAGCTGTTCGGCTGCAGCTGGCTGATGATGTTGTTGTTGATGAACAGCAGCTCAATGGAGTTGGGCACCGAGTTGGGCGTGATCTCCGTGATCCGGTTGTGGCTGGCGTCCAGCGTGCTGACGCGCAGCTCCTCCTGCAGCTTGTAGTAGTTGCCGAGGGCCTCGATGTAGTTGCCGTGTATGTCCAGCCACTTCAGGTTGGAGGGGATGAAGGCGTAGTCGAACCACACCAGGTGATTCTCGGAGAGATTCAGCCAGAGCAGCGAGGCGAGCGTGGCGAAGATGCCATTGATGTCCGTCAGGAAGTTCTTGTCCAAGCGAATCGCCTCGATCTCCGTATTCCGGTCGAAGGCGCCACGCTCGATGCTCTGGATGCGATTCTTGGCCAGATTCAGGACGCTGAGCCGTGGCAGCTGCTGGAACATGCCCACGGTGATGTTGCCAATGCGATTGTCGATCAGACGCAGGCCCGTCAGCTGGTTCAGGTTGTTGAAGGTGCCGTTCTTGAAGTCCGAGATCTGGTTCTCGCCCAGATCCAGGGTCTTGAGCATGCTCAGATCCTGCACCGCCTCGGGCACCTCCAGCAGCTGGTTGGAGCTCAGATCGAGTTCCTTGAGATCGGAGCAGTTGCGAAACGCCTGCGCCTCCACGATGCTGATCAAGTTGTTGTTCAGGGTGAGCTTGGTGAGCACGTAGAGTCCGTTGAAGATGCGATTGTCGAGCGTGTGCAGGCGGTTCTCGGCCAGGTTGAGGGTGTGCAGGTTGTAGAGGGGCAGGAAGGCGCCCTCCTCGATGTGGCCGATCGAGTTGTTGCGCATGTCCAGAATCTGCAGGAAGTACAGCTCCTTGAAGGTCTTGGCCCCGATGCGAGTCAGCGCGTTATTCGACAGATTCAGCACTATGAGCCGGATCAGGCCCGCGAAGGTGTTGTTGTCCACGTGGTGGCTGGTCAGCTGATTGGCCGAGAGGTCCAGCACCAGCAGCTGCTCCAGCCGATGCAGCAGGCCCTTGGGCAGATCGTACAGGTCGTTGTGATGCAGATGCAGCTCGCGCAGCTCCTTGTTGCCGGCAAAGGCGGCAGCGGGCAGCGACTCCAGGTGATTGTGGGACAGGTTGAGCACGCGCAGGGAGCTCAGGCCGGCCAGCGAGCTGGGCGCCAGCGAGCTGATGTTGTTGTGCTGCAAACTGAGCGTCTGGAGGCGACGCAGACGCGACGCGCCCCAGGCGTCGGGCAGCGAGCGCAGCTCGTTGTGCGACAGATCGAGGAGCTGCAGCTCCGCTCCGCCGCTCAGCTGGTTGGGCAGCCCCGTGCCCATGCAGAGCTTCTCGGAGAAGCCCAGGTACTCGGCGGCGCGAATGCGATTCTGTGTGAGATTCAGCAGCTGCAGTCCGGGCATGCTGCACCAGATGCCCTCCGGCAACTGCCGTATATTGTTGTCCGCCAGGTGGAGCTCGCTCAGCTCGCGCAGGCCCTGGAAGGCCTGGGAGTGCAGCTCCAGAGTGCGGCCCGGCCCCCAGACGGCGTTGTGCGTCTCCAGCTGGAGGCGCTTCAGCGAGAGCAGACCCTCGAAGGCGTTGGCCGGCACGCGCTGCAGCTTGCAGGCGTCCAGCCGCAGCTCGGACAGCTTCTGCAGCTTGCGGAAGAGGCCGCTGCCCAGCTCGCTGGCGTGCAGCAGGTCGGCGCTGCACTGCAGCTCGAAGCGGTTGGCCGTCTCGGCCACCTGCAGGTCCAGCGTGGAGCCAGCGCCCAGCTCCAGGGCTCGCACATTGCACTTGATGTCCATTGTGGTGCGCACGAACTCCCACGCGCACTGCTGCGCATGCGTCGCCGCTGGCAGCATCAGGGCGGCCAGCAGCTGGAGCAGCAGCAACAGGCAGCTCCTTGCTTGTGTTGTTGTCGTTGTTGTTGCTGTTGCTGTTGACATGTTGCTTGAAATTTGTTGCTTTTGATTTCCTCGAATTTCAACTGAATTCTCTCTTATTTTTTATATAAGGGAATTTGGAATTATTTTACTAATTTTTTTGTTTTGTTAAAAAAACTTTAATTCACTTTCTGGTTTTCATATTTGAGCGTATTTTTTCTCCGTTATTTTGGATGGTGTTGTGCGCGTAACCGTAATCCTTGTAGTGTAACTGTGTATGTGTGTGTAACGAATTTTAGCTCAGCACTTGTGAATTTTGTATTCAATTAACATTTGCATTGGCACTTGGTTGAGAATTGCGTTTGATTCAACTTTTCGCTTTTCGTTTTATAGCTCTTTGCGTTTTGAATAGATTTTTAGTTGCTTTGCCTTTTGTCGTCGGAGCTCGTTTTCTTAAAACATGTTAACCGCCTCGCGTTTCAACTCAAACTGATTGCTGGAGTTGCACGCAGTCGACTCCGTTGGCTCGTTGAAAATGTTTTTACGAGCGACGACGCCAACGAACACACACACAGGCAGACGGCAGACACACGCAGAGCAAGAAAGCAAAAGGCAGACAGACAGCAGTGTGCTGTGTGTGTGTGTATGGGTATATGTGTGTACGTGTGTTGGCTTGTTCGTGTTGCTGCTGCTGCTGTTACTGCTGCTGCACTCACACACATGCAACTGCACACATGCACATGTACTCGCTCTCACATACGCTCTGCTCTGCTCTTTGCGCTCCCACACATATAGGCAGCGTCGCAACGTCTCTGTCGCTGTCGCTGCCAACGGCGGCGTCGAGTGCATTTCCTGCATATGCAGTTTAGCAACATGCATATGCGCGCTCTCTCACTCTCGCGCTAACACTCTCTGGCACACACATAAAGACACACGGCTCACATGCTACACACGTATGTGAGGCACTGTTACGCTCTCGCTCTCACCAAAAGTAGGGGAAATGTTGCTGCTCGCACATGTACATTGTACATGTATATAAAAGCAGAGAGCATACAATTCTGCCTCGCTCCCGCTCTCGTTCTCACTTAATGTTTTTGTCTGTGACTTCTCAGTTGTAAAACGATCGTAGATCGAGTACAAATTTGAAATGTTTTTTTCCTTCTCATTTTCCTGATCCACATAAATTGCTCGGGTTATCAACAAATAAATTAATATTGTTCAAGCTGAGATTAGCCAACTTGTTGCTTATCAGCGTCTCGGGTACGCTATTCATTCACTTCCTTACTTTTTATACACACACATTTATATACACATATACATATGTATATATTCTTTTAATAAGCCGCTAATCTGCTGACGATTTATGAAGAGTTCATCAGCGTCAAGCGTCAGAAATATCAAATTAATTTGTTTTAATTACCTATTAGTAAACAAAATGTATGTTAAATGCTGGCACTGTGAAAAAGTAATAAATAACACAGATTATTTGCTAACAAAGCTTTAGCACAAAGTTTATTAAACCTAAACATATAAAATATGAAAAATAAAATATAAATTATAAAAGCCAATATATTATATATA